CGAGGAGCACTTGCGTGGTCTCCTGCTGAGTGAGGGGAGCCTGTTTTACTCGTCTCTTACACCTCTGTGTCGTCCCTAAACAACATCCAAAAGGGATTCCTAGAGCTGACCGAATGGTATAGGGCATGTATCGCCCCCCAAAATGACCGTTGAGAAGTAGAAACGTCCTAAGGGAGTGGTGCACTTCACTGTGAACTGAGAAACCGTCTTACACGACTTCTATTTCATTCAAGGACACAATACTTAACCAACACAATACTCACACAACAATTATGAGCTCTCTACACTACGTCGCAACGTCAATCATGAAATGACGAAAAACAGCAGAAAAATTGTCGCAATTCTGGTTTTCTGAGGTCAACACCAAGGTAGTTCCTCAACGTTTTTATTTATTTATTTATTACTATTTTGAACAGTAGTTTTCCATTTCAATAGATGACCAATCACGTTCGAACCATGCGAGTGTCACATGGCAAAGCTGAAAGTAGAACTATTCAGGAAGGAAAGTTTATGTGAAAGAAAGAGTCACTTACCACTCTGTGGGATGATTGAGCAACCGGTTGGCACTTTTTAAGTGAAGAAATTGGAATTCGCTGAAAAAAAAGGCAAAGTACACTCAGGTATATATGAACATTTTAATGGCATCGAATCTTTGAAAAACGGGGGGCGGTTTGGGTTCGGGAGGGTTTCTAGGCTCTGATTTGAAACCTTGAGGTACATATGTTGTACTGAACTTCCATTTGGGATTGTGGTGGCGATCTGATGCTCGTGGAAATGACTTGCTGTGTCCTGCCGATGTACATATGAGTGCTTCTACCCTCCCAGATGGGGTCTTATATCAACCGACCCAGAAAGCACGGAAGGCTTGATTGGCCCGGAGCAGATATGAGTCTGGTATTCGAACCGTGGACCATACGTGTGTGATAGTACGCCATTTGACACTACATCATCTGGTTTCGCCCCAACTATCCGAAAGGACTTCCCCAAATTACGCAAAACAGATGTTTATGAGTAAAAAACGAACATATTTATCACATTGACTCTTCTGTAGAATTAACTGGAATGCATACGTGGAATACTGCTTTCCGGCAGTTAACACAGTAACTTTTGATGCCTGAAAAGCGTTTTGTAATCTAGAAGCAGAAAAGTGTCTTCTAGGTTTGTTAAGCTCTCGTACTGCTCTTCTAATGGCGACATTGTGCTGCAAGAAATACATATGTTTAAGCACAATCGGGAACAAAGTGATAGAAAAAAGAAAAAGAGAATATCGAACTATAGCAGTTGAACGTCGGACCGACGTCTACGTGACGCAAGATTATTCCCTCCCCTTTAGCCATAGGACTTGACTATGCTCTGGCAAACAGATTTCTTAAGGGGGCGACAAGAAAAGCCTTTCGAACGTTCACGCGTTTTTGGCCTAGTCAGCAACATAGCTGCTGCAAGATGAGCTAATTTCAAAACTTTGAATCTCGATTGCCTCCCTCTTTCCAGCTTTCCAGTCCTCCAACCCTTTTTTCCCCTAATCAGCTCGAATCCTCTATACAAATCCCCTACTACCATGCCCCTGCTACCTCACTAATGACTCTAAACAAGCCTTTCTCTTCAAAATAGCTCTGCCCTTTGTTTTTATCCGAATCCCAAAAGCTTGGAAATTACTCACAAGCTCGTACGAACAGTAAATTGCTGGGTTTATGACTTCGAAAAAAAAAACTTTTATGATCATTGTACTCGGAGAAGCAAACCTGATAATTGCCGACAAATGGCAACCACCATACTTTATCATGGATTTGTTCATTCGATCTTGGGACGGCGCTCCGGTAAATCAGATCCTGAAAAGAACGACGCTTGAATTGTATCACATGCTAGCATTGTGAGGATCCGATTCCACTTGAAAGATAATTTCTTCAGGACTCTAAGTCATATCCTGGAAGCTGCAGCTTACATTGGTACACTTCCACCCAATCTTTGGATTATGGGTTTTTTCTATGTACAGCGAACCCTTTCACATTGAGTTGACTATCATCTGACTGCCAAAAACAGAAGAGCTACATTTTTGTGTGTTTTGGTAGTTTCTTTGTTTGGCAACTTTTTTGTGCTGAAATAAACTCAACGGAATCGTTCAATGAACAATTGAGCGCATTATGGAATATCATGCTACACCTCTGCACGCACAGTAATCTTCATATGACAAGTAATTCCTCGATTTGGAAACCATTTTGGACGAATTGTTGTCCAGTTCAGACTGAGAAGATATAGTTCATGATAAAGGGGTAGTTATGGTAACAATCATTCCCATTTCCGGATGTGCCCCCAAGATCCGCTGAAGGTTACAACCGTAGTAGGGTTTGAATGCGTATGTGCCCTATACAATGCAGGGTCTTCCACTGCAAAAAATAATTGTTTTCATTCATCACTTCATTCGGTTACCAGTGAAACGACTCTGGAAATTTGGGGGACATGTGGTAAAAGCGAGTTTGGCCTGGGATTCAGCTCCCAGACCGACTGTGCAAAAGCAACGCTAGTTAGTACTACCATATCTCTGCTACCTCATAAAGGACACGCGTGAAACACTGTCCTACTGCAAGAAATGATCTTTAAAAAGTTGTAAGTTGGTTGCGTAGTATGTGCATGCCGCCCTGTTTTCACTTTCACGAATCCCATCTACCACTTCACTGTCTGGGAAAGGATTTCCCGAGTAAATGTAATTCTTAGGCATTGTTGAACTGACTAGCAATCTCGATTTGAGAGAAATTCATAATTGGAACGAAAAGTTGAAGCGATACGGAAATGAATCTAGAAATCCCGAAAAAGGAAACTCGTAAACTATTTCAGAAAAAGGCTTCTGGAAATTGGAAAGGCCTAGGAACAATGGAAAGCCTTTTCACGGAGGCATTCAGCACTCCAACTATCACAAACACAGAGCAGGATATTGACGAAGAAATTAGCCAAGGATCTTGAAATGGTACTGAAAGAGGGATCTATCTTCCACTATTTTAGCTGCATTAAAATTAGGGTAGAGGTGAAGTAAAGGCAAGTAGCGTACGATCTTTTAGGCATGGTCCAAGGATTGCGACCCGAATCGATTCTCGATCAGGTCTGCCAAGCCTCAGATACCCCATAGATCGCTAAGGTGTCAGACTAGACTAGAAGGACAAAAGCAAGCAATTTTGTGTTGTCGGAGGCCACCACAAGTCATGGTATAAGCCACATGCGTCAAACTGCAACTACGTCCTGAATGAAAGTCGAATGCGGGGCGCATACCCAAGACGTTATCCTAATGTGAAATATTATAAAGTATAGAATTTTACGCTTCATATAGAAAAGAGAGGGTTAAGGAAGATTGTGCTTCGCCTTGAGGTTACGCTGTATCTGAGCTTAAAATTATGGTTGGGCTCGAGTGTGTAAAGAGGAGGTGGACCTCTATGATGGCGCTACATAAGAAACTTTCGCATAAGTTTTGGGCATGCTGTGAAATCGATGATAACATTTTAAATCTTCGAGAAAAATGATTAGGGAAGGTACAACTTACTTGAAGTGTTGGATCGGAATCCGGTACTTTAACTTTTTTGCCGGTTGTTGCACAATCAACAATGAATACGAGTGTCAAATAGAAGAATCCCTTCATCACATGTATGTATGTACGTTTTCTGTAACAAAACGATTACACATCAATCAAATCACCTCAAAATGTATCGTAACCAAACGCAACACGCTACTATCTGGCTGGTATCGTTGGAGCGAGTCAAATCGATCTACGCAATCCACCAAAAACAGGAAATTTTCGTTGTACCGACACGAACAAAAAAGAACGACGGCACCTCTTTGGACGCATCAACGCGTATGTCATGTAATGGAAGGGAGTGTTTCGTGTAGGGAACGCTATTAAACTCCCAGACTTCCCTCATGACCAAATCAAACCTAATACCAGTTGATTTAATGGTGGAACGGAACAGGTGTTGGACAACAAACACCATTTCAAATGTCACCGACGTCTAATCAAATACACGACCCATGCCAGGCCAGATCTAATCAAACCTCAAATTTTCGTACACAAATATTTATGAGCGCAACATATTCTATTTATATACCTTTGGAAAACGACCGCATGGGCCTTGAAGTGATCCTTCAGAGGATTTTGCTGAACTTATTGTTATAGTTATATAAGTCCTATACTAAAAGCCCTATACTGAAAAGCGGAGGTGGTGTAGTGGAAAACGGTGCTCTTCACACACGCATGATCACGGGCTCAATTCCCGGATTGATATCCGCTCAGGCCAACCAAAAATTCCATCCTTCCAGGGTCGGTATATTGGTACCAGACTTGTCTGGGAGGATAAATGTAGTGACTTGTACATCGGCTGGCCACTGCAAGTCATTGTATTGGTTACATACGCATTGACTACTACGATTCCGAATGCCAGTCAAATTCGGGGCGCGTCCCTTAGACGGGATTGATTGAAGCCACAAGATCTTACCCTTTTTACACTAACACAAACACAATGCCATGTTCCGAGGAGGTAGCTCTTAAAGTTCCTTCAAAATCAAAATGTGTTCACGAGAAGGGTCGGAACATGCTAAAATTACTGGACGAGCTCCAAAAGCATTCTCCAAAAGCAAGAGTCAGAAAAATTCTCTATCCATACCTGTCGTGAGCAATTGTAGTCCAATGGATCCTCCTCGCTCAAGAACTCGAAATGAATTACTTCGTTCGATATTGCGAAGCCGCTTTGCGAAGATCTTTGACCATCGAAATAACGGCTCTTGTGATGCTCGCTCGAGAGGAATCCATTCAATCACCCGCTTTGGACCATTCGTCCATCACAAATGCATGACCTTTGTGAACAATTCGGTTTTCTATTCATTGGCGACAGCGTGTCTGATCTTTGTTCAATGACGGAGTTCGAAGATTCGGACTCATCTCGTTTTTGCTTACATCGGGAACTTCAGGCTTTGTCCTTTCCGCGGAGAGTTCACTCAGGCTGGTTCATCTTGTCTGCTAAGATCTTGAAGAACAAGGGCCACAATGGGCGAAAAGATGGGCGTGGAGCCACATGTCCTCTCTCAACACTTCTCCCTCTACCTTCTTAATTAAGCTCCCCATAATGCTCTTTTGCCTGCTCGGCTCTAGAACTAAATGATAAGTTCCAATCATCCATGCTGACTTCTCA